GTACCTGCTGGGAGAACTATGAGAGGATCCAGATTCCCACTGTATTGTTCTTCAGAAAGAGAGCCTCTTAGTTCAGTGAAACCAATTTCTGTTTTGATTAGACAGATTCTCATTGTCTTTAAAATCTGGCCTTTCTCCTCAGGAACATTCTGTTTGATTGTGTGGGCTTGAGTCTTTTTGTCCTAGAATGTGTTTCCAGCTATCCTTCAGCCCTCTGCCTTTCTCTGCTTACTTCTTGGGAACTCAGCAGAGGCTTTAGTTTACCCCAGTTCAGGGTTTCTCTTTATCTATATCTATAGCAGCAGGAAAGTGGGGGAAAAGGAAAGAAAAGCCAGAGGGACCACAACAGAGAGAGCAGCAGCAGGGATCCAGGTAAGGGGAGGGACCCAGGCCCCACCCCCAAGCGACAGGAAAGTTGGGGGGGGGGGAAGCCAGGGGGACCACAACAGAGTGAGCAGGGCAGGGATCCAGGTAAGGAGAGGGACCTAGGCCCCACCCCCATGCAGCAGGAAAGTGGCAGGGATCCAGGTAAGGGGAGAGTAGAGAGGTTTCGAACAGCTAAGGGAGACACACTTGTCTGTTGGTTTGTCATACTGTGGTGGTGTGTTGCTGTGAGGCTTGAGGCTGTACCACCAGTGTTTCAAATGGCAGTGGGGTTGCACATGGTGCACAAGTTTCAGCACAGCTTGCAGACTGAGACTGACTAGGAAGAAGGAAGAGCCCATCCACTTCTATAAGAATTGGCCAGGGAAGACCTTATGAATAGCAGAGAAACACTGTCTGATACATTACTGTACAACTTTGTGAATAGCCAGGAAACATTGTCTGATACAGTGCAAGAGGATGAGCCAGTTAGGTCAGAAGACACTCAAAATATGACTGAGAAAGAGGTGCATCATCAGAGTGGAACCAACCTTACTGATACAAATAAAGCAAAGCTTTCGAGACCTCCATTTACTGACGTGGCACAACTCAAAATGAGGAGAAAGAGCTGCAAACATCCATTAATAATCAGAATATGGAATGTACGAAGTATGAATCTAGGAAAATTGGAAGTTCTCAAACATAAAATGGACTGCATAAAGATTGATGTCCTAGGCATTGGTGAGCTGAAATGGACTGGTTTTGGTTATTTTGAATCAGACAATCATATGATCTGCTATGTTGGGAATGACAAATTGAAGAGGAATGGTGTGGCATAATCATCACCAAGAATGTTTCAAGATCTGTCCTTAAGTACAGTGCTGTCAGTGATAGGATAATATCCATATGCCTACAAGGAAGATCAGTTAATATGAATATTATTCAAATTTATGCACCAACCACCAAAGCCAAAGATGAGGAAATTGAAGATTTTTATCAACTTCTGCAGTCTGAAATTGACCAAACGTGCAATCAAGAAGTGTTAATTATCACTGGTGACTGAAATGCAAAAGTTGGAAACTAAGAGGAATCATCAGTAGTTGGAAAATTTGGCCTTGCTGACAGAAATAATGCTGGAGATCGTGTGATAGAATTTTACAAGACCAATGACTTATTCATTGCAAATACCTTTTTTCAAGAACACAAATGGCAGCTATACACGTGGACTTCACCAGATGGAATACCCAGGAATCAGATTGACTACATCTGTGGCAACAGGCGAGGGAGAAGCTCAATATCTTCACCCAAAACTAGACCAGGAGCTGATTTTGGAAGACCATCAACTGCTCATTTGCAAGTTCAACTTGAAGTTGAACACAATTAAAACAAGTCCACAATAGCCAAAATAAGCTTGAATATATCCCTCCTGAATTTAGAGACCTTCTAAAGAATAGATTTGATGCATTGAACACCAATGACCAAAAACCAGAAGAACTGTGGGATGATATCAAGATCATCCATGAAGAAAGCAAGAGGTCATTAAAAAGATGAGAAAAAAGGAAAAGACCAAATTGGATGACAGAAGAGACTCTGAAACTTGCCCTTGAGTGGAGAGTAGCTAAAGCAAGTGGAAGAAATGACAAGATAAAAGAGCTGAACAGAAGATTTCAAAGAGCAGCTCAAGCAGACAAAACCAATCACTATAATGAAATGTGAAAAGACTTGGAGTTAGAAAACCAGAAGGGAAGAACATGTTTGGCATTTCTCAAGCTGAAAGAACTGAGGAAATTAATTAAGCCTTGAGTTGCAATATTGAAATATTCTATGGGGAAAATATTGAATGATGCAGGAAACATCAAAAGAAGATGGAAGGAATGCACAGAGTCACTGTACCAAAAAGAACTGGTAGATCTTCATCCATTTCAAAAGGTGGCACATGATCAAGAACCAATAATATTGAAGGAAGAAGTCAAAGCTGCACTGAAGGAATTGGTGAAGAACAAGGCTCCAGGAATTGACAGAATACCCATTGAGATGTTTCTACAACTGTATGCCCCACTGGAGGCACTCACTCAGCTATGCCAAGAGACTTGGAAAACAGCTACTTGGCCAACTGACTGGAAATGATCCATATTTGTATCCATTCCAAAGAAAGGTGACCCGATAGAATGTGGAAATTATAGAACAATATCATTAATATCGCATGCAAGTAAAATCTTGCTGAAGATAATTCAAAAACGGTTGGAGCAGTATATCAACAGAGAAGTTCCAGAGGTGCAAGCTGGATTCATAAGAACAAGGGATATCATTCATAACAAGGGATATCATTGCTGATGTGAGATGGATCTTGGGTGAAAGCAAAGAATACCAGAAAGATGTTTACTTGTGTTTTATTGACTATGCAAAAACATTTGATTGTGTGGATCATAACAAATTGTGGATAACATTGAGAAGAATGGGAATTCCAAAACACTTAATTGTACTCATGAGGAACCTGTACATAGATCAGGAGGCTATTGTTTGAACAGAACAAGAGGACACTGTATGGTTTAAAATCAAGAAAGCAGTGTGCATCAATGTTGTATCCTTTCCCCATACTTATTCAATCCATATGCTGAGCAAATAATCTGAGAAGCTGGACTATATGAAGAAGAACGTGGTATCAAGATTGGAAGAATAATCGTTAACAACCTGCAGTACACTGATGACACAACTTTGCTTGCTGAAAGTGAAGATGACTTGAAGCACTTACTGATGAAGATTGAAGAATACAGTGTGCAGTATGGGTTACATCTCAATATAAAGAAAACAAAAATCCTCACAACTGGACCTATAAGCAGCATCCCGATAAATGGAGAAAAGATTGAAGTTGTCAAAGACTTCACATTGCTTGGTTCTACAATTGACACCACTGGAAGCAGCAGTCAGGACATCAAACAACATATAGCACTGGGCAAGTCAGCTGCAAAGGACCTCTCTCAAGTGCTGAGGAGCAAAGATGTCTCCTTGAGGACTAAGCTGTGCCTCACACAAGCCATCATATTTTCATTTGCCTCATATGCATGTGAGAGCTGGACAATGAATAAGGAATACCAAGGAAGAATTGATGCTTTTGAGTTGTGGTGCTGGCAAAGAATGCTGAAAGTACCATGGACTGCTGAAAGAACTAGCAAATCTGTCCTGAAGGAAGTGCAGCTGGAATGCTCCTTGGAAACAAGAATGGCCAGACTTTGTATCACCTACCTTGGTCATGTTGTCAGAAGGGACCATTCCCTGGGGAAGGATGTCATGGTTGGTAAGGTGGAGGGTCAATGAAAGGAGGGAAGGCCCTCAATGAGATAGATTGACACAGTGGCTACCAGGATGGGCTCAAGTATAGCAAGGATCGATCACAGAGCTGGCGCAGGATTAGGCATTGTTTCGTTCTGCTGTGCATAGGGTCCCTATGAGTTGGAGATGGCTTGACAGCACCTAACAACAACAACAGAGTTTCTCAGCCTTGGCACTATTGCCATTTTGGGCTGGATAATTCTTTGTTGTGAAGCTATCCAGAACATTGTACATTTTTTAGCAGCACACCTGGTGACCACATACTAGATATCAGTAGCACACCCACCTCTCCACGGTTACGACAACCAAAAATGTCTTGACATTGCCAAGTATCCCTTTGTGTTTGGGGGGGGGGCATGTCACCCTCAGTTGAGAACCACTTGTTTAGCTTATTCTTAAGCATTCACTAAGCAAAACCCCTCACCTCGTTCCCATTCCACATGTTCTGCCATGACGTTTCAATATTTATTACTATTAATAGAAAATAATCTTTTGAATTAGAAATGTATATGCAAGAAAGATTTTGCCATTTGCAAACATCACAACATGCCTTTACTGAACTGTTTCTCACAAGAACTCTGGAGGCATCATTATCCCAATTTTATATCAAAGGATTTAAGATTCTTAGAGGTTAAGTGACTTCCCTGGGGCAATTCATTGAGAACCAGAACTAGATCCCAGGCCATGTGACCACTGATTGACCAGAGCTTTTTGTATGCACTTCTGACTTCCCCAGAAAGGCAGGCTACATCTTTATGTAGCAGGTGAGCAATCTCCCAAAAGCAGAGATCCTGTTTTGATTTCTATGCTTCCCTCGCATGGCACAGAGTAGGTCCTCTGAGTGGAGCTAGGCCAGAGAAGGGATGGCAGATACCCCTCTTCTAGAGACCCTGGAGGTGGTGCCTTGGCTGTCCAGATCTGTGTGTGACTGGTCGCTCACCCTCACTCTTCTGATTTCCTGGCATAGGAGGCGAGTAGAAATGCCCCTCTGCTAATAAGCCAAGGTCTAAGAGGCTGTCAAACCACTGTGGTCTCTCTGACTTTTCACCTTTATAATTCCGTTTAAAAAAGAAAGTGCATACTGGGGTCATACTTGAAAATTTGCTCTAAATTTATCAGTTGCCATTTTGAGGTCCTATATATGTACACTTAAGTGAACGTATTTAATCATTACCATAGTTGAGGGGGGTTTTTAAAGTTTTCATCAATGTCTAAAAATATTTCTATAAGAAAAGTTCTACAGAAATATATATAAAATAAGATTAAGTATTAAGTCTTCTTTTCTTTCTCCACTTTTTCTCTTTCAGGGTTCTCCAAATATATACGATCATGAAGTCACTATAGAAGCTGATGCTTTTTTGCCTGTGGATGAAACCCTGATTCCTACAGGTTGGTGAATTTGAACTATGAAAGTGTACAGAGCTGGGGTATGGTTTGAGGAGCACTTCATTTACATAAAATTATTTTCCTATCCAGCCAAAAATGCCTATAATTGCCATTATTAGTTAGTTATTTTGGTTAAGGTTGGGTGACCATACAATTTATCATCCAAACCAGAACACTTTTGAGTGCAAAAGGGGACCTATTAATAATTAATCCAGGGCAATAAACATAAACTGTGAAAATTCCAAGCAAACTAAGTCATATGGTTACCCTTACTGAGGATGATACTCCAAAAGGTCGCTGCTAACAGGTAAACCTGTTACTTCTTCACACCTCAGCAAAGATTATTTTGCCTAAACATTACCTCACACATGCAGAACACTGATGGAACACTTTGTGGTTTTGGACAGAAGAGAGGAGAATAATTTGCGTGTACCCTGAGGAGGGCAGATACAGATAAGTCACCTGTGAGACACAGTCAGGGGGACAGTGTGGGTGAGGAGGGTGGAGTATCAAAATTGAAGGAATGGAAAGCACAGTGCTACCAAAGGCAGATTCCGTGTTTGTGTGTATGTGTGTGTGTGCATGCGCGCATGCATGTATGCGTCTTCTGGGTTAACATGATTAAGAGCATCTTGATTGTAACTAATTTGGGATCAAAGGAACCTTGGTTCAAATAGGCAAATAGATAATGACGGAAAGTAAGTTAGTGGTTGCTAGGGACAAGGGGAAGGGGCAGATGGGGAAGTGACTGCTAATAGATATGGAATTATTTTTGGGTTGATGAAAATGTTCTGGAATATGCTAAATGTATACTAAAATATACAAAAATCCACTGAATCATATACTTTAAAAGGGTTAATTTATGATATATGAACTGTGTCTCAATTAAAACAAACAAACTTTAGTTCACACTATTATCTCCAGGATTGAGTGGTGTAATGTTATACTAAATCATAGCTTCATCCTCATCTGCCTCCAGTGGTCAGGTAGAAAACAGTAAGATGACTGGCAGAGGTATTGTTATCATTTGTAGCAGCTCATGAAAATTAATCTGAAGAAACTACCTCAACCGGTTATTGTGGATTTGATTCTAATTTATAGCAACCCATGTGTTGCTATAAATCCTAATTTATAGCAACCCATGTTTGACTATTATTCAAATTTATGCACCAACCACCAAAACCAAAGATGAGGAAATTAAAGATTTTTATCTACTTCTGCAGTCTGAAGTTGACCAAACTTGCAATCAGGATGTGTTAATTATCACTGGTGACTGGAATGCAAAAGTTGGAAACAAAGAAGAATCACCGGCAGTTGGAAGATTTGGCCTTGGTGGCAGAAATAATGCTGGAATTCACAAGGTAGAATTTTGAAAGACCAACAACTTGTTCATTGCAAATATCTTTTTTCAACAACACAAACGGCGGTGTACACGTGGACTTCACCAGATGGAACACACAGGAATCAGATTGACTACATCTGTGGCAAGAGACGATGGAAAAGCTCAATGTCTTTAGCCAAAACCAGGTGAGGAGCTGATCATGGAACAGACCATCAACTGCTCATATGCAAATTCAACTTGAAGTTAAAGACAATTAAAACAAGTCCACGAGAGCCAAAATATGATCTAGAATATATCCCTCCTGAATTTAGAGACCATCTAAAGAATAGATTTGATGCATTGAACACCAATGACCAGAAACCAG